TGATTTTACTGTTAATTATATAGATGATATCCTGGTGTTTTCAAAGTCTTATAATGAACATATAAACCATTTATCACAATTACTGGAAGCAATAAAACAAGAAGGATTTCGACTAAAATTTACAAAATGTACATTTGCGTCGAATTCTGTAAAATATCTTGGACACATAAAAGAAAATAATACAGTTCGACCAGTTAGAGATAATTTAATTTCAATAAGAGAATTCCCTACACCAAAAACTCTGAAAAATGTCAGACAATTTTTAGGGAAAATTAATTTCTACCATGAATACATACCCAAGAGCACAATTATATTAGAGCCCCTATATAATTTACTGAGGAAAAATCAAAAATTCATTTGGTCAACGGACTGTAAAAACTCATTTGAAGAAATAAAAGATTTACTTTGCTCACAACCCATCTTAGAAATTTATGATCAAGACTTGCCAGTAAATATATACACAGATGCATCATTGGAAGGTATTGGAGCAGTGCTAAAACAAATTCAGCCAGACGGAAAAGAAAAGCCAGTAGCCTATTTTTCAAGAAAGTTAAATGAATCCCAAAAAAAGAAAAAAGCAATATACTTAGAATGTCTGGCTATTAAAGAAGCAGTACGATATTGGCAATATTGGTTAATAGGGAAACCATTCACAGTATATTCAGATCACAAACCGTTGCAGAACATGAATGTTAAATCTAGACCTGATGAAGAATTGGGAGAACTAATGTATTATTTATCGCAGTATGACTTTCAGATAAAATATGCTCCAGGTAGAGAAAATTTGGAAGCAGATTGCTTAAGCAGAAACCCGGTACTGAATGAAAACGAAGATATTGATGAACAATTAAAAATAGTAAATTTGGTAAAATTAGAAGATATCATCACAGATCAAGAGAAAAATAAAGATATACATGATAACAAGAATAATTTGACATACAAAAACAACATATTTTATAAAAAAAGTAAAAAAACATGAAAAAATAATACTGTCGGAAGATTTCAGTATAAAATTTATAAAAAATATTCATGAAAATATGTGTCACATAGGTGTAAGACAGATGCAAAAAGCAATTGGTACAAGATATACAGCAAAAAATTAACAGCAAACATAAATAATATTTGTAAAACTTGCGATATATGTATAAAGAATAAAACAAGAGGACAAGCTAAATATGGCCTAGTGTCACACTTAGGACCCGCCACAAAACCATTTGAAATTATCTCCATAGACACAATTGGAGGCTTCGGAGGCTCGCGGTCGACGAAGAGATATCTACATCTTCTAGTGGATCACTTCACTCGTTACGCATATATACTAACATCGAAGACACAGAATGCAAAGGACTTCATAAAACTGATTAGTAATATAACGAACTTAAATGATATCATTATTATTCTCGCAGACCAGTACCCTGGAATAAATTCAAAGGAGCTTAAGACGTTTTTGAATGACAAATCAATTGCGCTAGTTTTCACCGCAGTAAATTCACCATTTTCAAATGGCTTAAATGAGCGATTAAATCAAACGCTGGTCAACAAAATAAGATGCCAGATAAATGAAAAACCTAACACCATAGCATGGACAACAATTGCTCATAACTGTGTAAGTAAATACAACGACACGGAGCATACAGTCACCGGCTTCGCACCGAGATACCTACTAGATGGGACAGATGTTACAATTGTGCCAAAGGAATTAAAACAAGGCAAAAGAATAGAGGAATGGATGGAAGATAGGAAAAAAGCGTTACAAAATACAATAAAATCTCATAACTATAATAAAATGTTGATTGACAGAAAAAAGAAAAGACTATAGTTTCAATAGGGGTGATTTGGTATATATTGAGAATGGACATAAATTAAATAGGAAAAAACTGGTTGAGCTAAGGATTGGACCTTTTAAAATTGAAGAAAAAATATCATCTTCAATATATAGAATAGATACAGGACACAGAAAATCCGAGTCAAATCTTTTTCACGTCACAAAGCTCATTCCAGTTCCTAAATAAAGAACCGAGTTAAGAACATGATACACAACGAGTATGATTTAGTTATAACTATTATAATAATTGTAAGTAAGTTTAGGTATTGTTACCGAAAATTTCGATGAAATTTTCTGCCCTGCGGGAGGAGTTGTAAAGAAATTACATTTCTTTAAGTTTTGTTATTGTTTATTAAATTCTTTTATGGTTAGTCGATAAAGCATAAACAATTTACTTCGCTACTTGATAGATGGCGCTGTCAAGGTATTTGAGTGGACTATAGATAAAGCAGACGGTAGGCATGTCGATTCATTCTTAAAAAAATCGATCTCTGAATCGATTCGAATCGAAGATACTAGAATCGATTATCGATTAAATCGAGGATTAAAAGATCGATTTTCGATTAATCGCGACACTTTCAAACATGAAATTTCAAGAATTTGCGATTTTTTCTTTAATTGAACTTCAATATTTTTATATATAAATTTAAGATACTGAATAAAGAATTTTGAATTTTGAATATTTTTTTGAAATTAAAATATTAGTAATCTTATTAATTAAAATTACTAATATTCCTTTTAACCTCTCCTGGTAAGCTTGAAACGGTTGTTTTAGGGGTGGTTCGCCACTCGATCCCTTTTTTTTACAAATTGATTCCATGTATCACTTTTATTTGACATTTTAGGCTAAAAACAACAACAATACTTTTAACAAAAGGGCAAACTGCAACGTACATTTCTCGATCAATCTGTTTCAATCTATTAACTCACTATTTATCAAATTTAAATGAATGCTACACGAACACAATACTGGTTATTTCCTTACTATAAACCTCTATAAACTTCAACATATAATATTTATTTACAGCGTCTAGATATATAGAAAGTACTCCGTCTGTACTTACAGCTCACAGTATGTATGTTTTTTATAATAAAGTAAATTTGAAAGTTCACATTTCAAACAGGTTCACAGCTATAGGTAATATTAAATTGTAGTATGTATATGTAGTTTTGTTCAAAGCACAGATTAAGTTAGACCAACATTCCACAGGTAAGAATAGAATTAGAAATTTAGAAATGAAAATGAAATGACAACTTTTCGATATTGTTTGATGCGTTCATAAATATTTATTTTATTCAAATATGCAATATGTAACGTAATTAACGCACACCCTCAGACACCCGAATTAGTATATTATGTTATAAACATAATACATACACTGAATTTTTAGTTAAACATTTTTATGCACTGATTATTTATCAAATTAGTTATACTAATTCCGGAAGAATGTTGTGGTCACAGTACAAATCCACGAACGCAAAGAATTTAACGTGCTTGAAATCAAGTTCATTTTTCTTTATTTTTATTGAATGACAGAATTAGTAATAATACAAATAAAACTACACTCTTATAAGTCTTATTGCATTAAATTACGGTCCATTTCAGTTTGTTTTGACTGTACAGATTTAGTGTGATTGTAATTTACGTAGTTTTAATTATTTTTGGGATAAAAAATTACCTATATTAAAAATGATAGGAATCGATTCAGTAAACAATTCTGAACAAACTACTTTCTCAAAGTGCGTTAATTATGTTACGTGTTGTATATTGCGTTCCAATTATCAACCAAGTATGATCGGTTGTTTTTGCGTTCCCCAACAGCAAAAAATTAAAAAACTGCGGTATCTTAACCCAGCCAGTTTGGGAATTTTATCGCTGGTTCTAGAATCAGATGAATCGGTCCGATTCGAGAGGTTTTTGGATCGATTCAGTGAATCGATGCGGTGCACCGAATCGATCTAAAAAATCGATTGTTTTGCTTCAAAGAATCGATTTTTCGATTAATCGATTTTAGATCGACATGCCTAGCAGACGGTTTCGAAGATGGCGTCAGTAAAATGTTAAAATTGTAAAACACGTAAACAATCGGATAATAATAAAATAACTAATAAAGGGAATCGACAAGTGTAATAACTTTTAATGTCGTTTCTTTGTTTTTTCAGGTATGTTTAGTGATTATTGTAAGGTGTAGTTAAGTGAAAAATACAAATGTACAAATAATTTATACTAATAAAACTTTGTTTTTTCAGAGCAACACAAACGTTTATTTCGCCGATTCCCTATAAATTACACGAATTGACTTATATTTATATATATATATATATATATATATATATATATATATATATATATATATATATATATATATATATATATATATATATGGGATTAACGGAATAGAGAAGGATCTCCTAGGTGAATGTTTGTGATTAGCAATGGTAACATACAGATTGCCGGTACGACATACTCCGCCGAACGTTGAGTCCACTTCGTAAGGCATTAAGGTCACCGGCCCCTAAGCAAAACCTTACGCACTAAAGTGCTTTCCGAGCCCATTGTGTCAAGTCGCGTGCGCGAGTGCTACCAAACACTTCCTCCCTCCAAAGGGGTAGGCAGTGCCCCAATGTGTTTCAGTTTACCACCTTCTCCCACCCACACCTCTCACGTCTCGCGTTGTCTCACCGTATTCGTCATAGATTCATTAGGTTATAATAGATAGGACACATTAAATTGGATTACCTGAACAGTTACTATATCGGACAAGGGTGAACCACCACCGTCACCCCGCACTAGTAAACCACCGGATTGACCGGCTGTTTTGTATCAGCCCCTATTGGTGAGTGACCTACTTAACCCGGAGCGGTCGAGGATCGCCACGTTTTATCAAATTCTAACCAGTAAGCCTGCATCGCCGCTTAATGAACCCGCACCGAACGCTGCGCTTCACCACCACGCCCGAGGACATTAGTACACTGGTAATGGACCGTGAGGAGAAACCGTGTCAGTTTCCCTCTGCCGTTTCTAATATCCTACCAATAGATATCCACGGGACGCTATATAGTAGTCGATAGTCTTACACTGCCACTACATGGTTGCTATACATGGATATTCAATAAATTCAGTACAGTCATATTTAACTCAGTTGGTGATTCTCATACAAATAAATAAACAAATTTATTTCCAAGCCTTTATTCTTAACCTTCGTGGTGGAATGACAACATCTGTATCATCTCTTCCAGGTTTCAAGATATCCTTTTGTATTTCTACGATCATTCTCAGCAGGAAGTTAATAACTTGACTGCATGTCCCATCTCGCAGTCTTGGGAAGTCTCTGCCACTGGGGAGACATGTTCCGCCAATTAAAATAGTCTGATGAGTGAGGGAAGCAAGCAGGCGTTTTATTATATCGATCTTTTTGTTGGCTGCTAACGGTCGAAGGCGTATAATAAAGCGTAGTAGGTATTCTATAAGTAAGATGTCCTCCTGTAATTAAAAGTAATATGTTTTTAAAGCTTTAGTAAACGTTGCGCTATAAAGTAGCTTAATGATGTAGAATGTGTGGAAGAAGAAAAAAGAATGAAGAATTTATGATATATGGTCTATGAATGAAATATATCAACAATATATCATAAATTCAACAGTAGTTTAGTTAAGTTTTATTTAAAAACAGTATGAGATATTTTTTTTAAATAAAACTGAAGAGACTAAAGGCTTATTTTGTCGAAGGTACCGATACAGCATCTATACCATAACGTACTGCTGCCGCAATTTTGCTGTAAACTTATTCTGAGTTGGTGATCATTTCATTAAGATTTTTATTTTTTATCAACCCATTTCAAAAAAGAATGAGTAACTTAATTCGATTCAGAATTTTCTTTTTATATGTGTGTTACCTTATGAAACTTTTCTCTTTTTTTAAAAAGCTGATATGGTTCCGTATAAATTTGATCAAGATCTGATCAACAGTAATTGAGTTATCGTTTAATAACGCGTATTTAATTGACTTCGGCTACATTGATTTCTCGTTTTATTTATATTAAAGTCGGTTTTGTACATTTTTTTTTATTTTATCACTTCAGTTCTCTTTATGTTAGAATTGTTTTTTAAGGTGTAATTTGTGTTGCGGCCATGAATACGTTTACTTATTTTCTTCAATTCTGAGGACTTGGAATGCCTTATTTATAACGTCATTATACTGGCCCTGTATTTCCTTCAGTCACAGCAGTGCAGGCGCCTGCTCACTCGGACTCAATGGCAGAAAAGTGGTCCTACCGCCTAATAAAAAAAGATATTCAACAAATTTTCTTGCGCGAGCAACTTAAGGCAATTTGTTTCACTACTATTATTATGATCGGAGCTCACGTTGCGATAAAAATGTAAAGAGATGCAAGGGTTGGTCGGTAAATCAAGTCAATCAGATAAAATTCTTATATAGAAATGAGGGAGCTATAATTTGCACTTTCATTATATTTAAAGATTTTTATATAAATACACCAACAGAATCTGGGGATACCTAATCCTAAATTATTTAAAGACGTTATAGTTTAAATTTTTTAAGTTTCCGTAAAAAGTTTATATACAGATTGAAACCCCTTTTATTGTATTTACAAAATTTAAAAATGTAAATTAAAAAAAATACGGCGGCAAAATTGTTAATAATTCGTTTCGTTAGGGAAAATTAAAAGTGTACTACTGATCAAATTGTTTTTCTTTATTAATTTACCGCGCCGTTTGAGTTTTAAGAGTCATGTCACGTCGTCATTTGACTTCAGGGAGAGTGAGCCGTCTATGGCACCCTCAGACGGGAGAATCATGGGGTGGGCAGGAATCCGCCGCAGCTTCGCACGGGTGATTTCTGGATCTTGATAATAGCATCAATTACTGCGTCCAGTTGTGAATCTAAACCATTCTCGAATCAACTTAATACCACACACAAAACGTTTTTTTTAAATTTCATTAAAATCGGTCCATCCGTTTAGGAGGAGTTCAGTCACATACACATGGACAGAAGAATTTTATATATATATATATATATATATATATATATATATATATATATCTATAATTAAAAGGTTATCTAATTTTTTCCTAGCACTTAAGTAATATAAATTTGAATACCATTTGCAATGCCATCATGCAATGTTCCGTGTTATTCGCACGCGCGACTATTAGGGAGAGATCTTCCCGATTAAGAACCGGTTGCTTCAGGCCGTCCAACCATTCAAGAAGAAGTCCAGATAGCACCATGGGATCTTCCTAAAAAAGTAATATTTATTGATTATGGTACATACCAAACAGAACAGTGTAGTGGCGGTGTGAGAATATCCACTACCCCATAACCCCATATCATTCCGAGAGTTTCGTAGGAAACGACAGAGGAAAATTAACTAAGTGATGGATAGCAGAATCTCCTTGAAAACAACGGCATAAAAATGAAAAACTGCAGCTGTCAAACCGATAGCCAAGCATGGCAAATATCTCCTCTGTGAGGAAATTGAACCTATTTTCAGCAGTAGATTATTGATGCTAATAGTGCATGGTACATAGGTACACGATACATTTGTAGATACTCATTCTCCGTTATTATAACACTGTAACAAATAAAGCGCCATCTAGCGGTGAACAGATGAAGACTTCCCTTAAATTCAATTTGAACCACCAATAAAAGTCGATTAATTTAGAACTCGATACTGTAAGGTGTAGGCAGAAGGACTGTCATCATTATCGAGTCATATGTCCCGAGATTTTTTTTATAGAATAAGAGTGACAAATGAGCACACAGTCTACCTGATGGTAATTGGAAGCTGTGGCTCATAAACATCTACATTTACACTCGATTAAGAATCAAAATGCAGATACGTTGTCACCCATGAGAACTACGATGGAATGCCTTATTTCCAGTAATAAAGGTCTCCAGTTCCCTACACTTGCCATACGAAACACAGCTTTCTTTACGTGGTAGAGCCACGCTGCAAATATTGTGGTTGTAGCATGAATGGGTCGGCTCGACCGGGGAAGGACAACGCTCTCACAGAATACCAGCCTAAAACAGCAGCTTAATGCTGCTGTGTTTCGTATGGTAAGTGTAGAGAACCGGAGACCGTTTTACTGGAATCGAGGCATTCCATCTTAGTCCTCAGGGGTAACAACGCATCTGCATTTTGATTCTTGATCGAGGTTTAATGTAGGTGTCTATGGGCCGCAGCATCCACTTACCATCAGGTGGACTATGTGCTCGTTTGTCATCCTCATCCTATAAAAAAACAGCAGCATGAAGCTACTAGTTTACGCTGGTATTCTGTGAGAGCGTGGCCCGTCCCCGGTTGAGTTGACCCATTCGTGCTATAACCCAAATGTAGCTACAGCGTGGATCTACGACGTCAAACTACTATGTGATTTCTCCTCATTTAAAATAACTCAACAAAGAGCAGCACTGCGATTAATAATTTGATTTCGAAATTTGGGGGGAATATTTTATGTTACCATTGCAGCCTATCTAAAGTCCACAGCTGGACATAAGTACAAGAATGCTGAATCTAAGGTGGAGGCCCTTAGATCGCCTCCAACTACATAGTTGCCATGCTTGGCAAGCGGGATGCCTACCGTAGTTTGTTATTTTCATTCAGCTATCATCAGAGCGATGCTAACGCCCAACTCGTGATGCAGTATTCCTCTATTGCCTCTTACGCATCCACGGGATGATGTGGGGTAGTGGTAGAGTATAGTATATTCTTATATCACCACTACACGGATAAATATATTTCAATGAAACTGAAATTATTTGATTTTACTGTTTTATGGATTCCTATGAAAACCGTCCCAGTAGACCCTAGCATGAACTGGCAGCCCTACACATACCTCATCATAAATTTTATCCATAGCTTCTCGCCTCTGATTAATCTCATTACGTAGCTGCTTAAGGTGTTTCTGTTTATCGTCTGGAAGACTTTGATGATCCAAAATGAATGCCTGAAACGGTAATAAAGTTAACCTTATGCTCTATCTCATAGCTCATTCTTCATTGTTTATACGTCATAGACAAGAGTTGGAAACGTATTTTTAAGTAAATATAACCTTATGTATATCTACGGCGGGTATGCTTCCGCCAATGGAAGAGCCTGTGATCCTACTAAGTGACTCCAGGCTTCTTTCTACATCCTCCTCCACTGGGTCTCGCCATTCCACCATAGGCAGTGTTGTCGCATGCACTAAAAAAACAACCGATTGAGTTTAAGCTCATTCATGTTGAGGCGTCAACACAGATTGACTAAATTGGATGTAGGCTCTTATTGATCATCTATAAGTAAGGCTGATAAACAGGCAAAGTTCAGAAATTTTTAACAATTGAAATGAAGATGACATTTCGCCCCTGAAAATTGGATGCAATGGGTGATCACTTCCCGTTAGGTACTACAAAAAACAGCAGCGTACTGCTATATCACGCTGATATTCTACGCGAGTTAACCTTCGCTGGTCGACTCGTCTTGGATCTGCTACGAAAAAGGGGTGTTTTTAATTCTATATTGACGGCTTTCTTCATTAGATAGAATAAAAAACTATTAATGCAAACCTGCCTGCAAAGTATGGCAATGGCCGATTAAAAAATGGCGGTTTCATTTGAGACTCGAAAGTAGATTGCGCGCTGAGTAAAGAGTAGAGTTTAATAAGAAGCTGTTTATATTAATATTGTAGTTATTATAAATAATATAGTGTCTAACTTAAGTATAAATTTAAATACCTGCTGAAATTTCTTCTGGAGTTGTAGGATCGGGAGGTTTGTTCTTTTTCAGTTTGTAGGCTAAGAAATTCTTGTAGAATGGACGGTTCCGTATGCGGAAATCTTGGTCGGCGGTTTGATGGCAGCCACATAACTTGAGCAGTCTCTCGCAAATACAGTACACTATCTGGAATTTAATAAAGGTTATTGCTAATCATACGATAATCGTATGGATAAAAAATATTATTCATACGATACAGAAACAGAAACTTTTTTATTCAATGTAGATTGTAAACAATACTTATTGAAAGTCAATTTTTTTCATTTACCACTGGTTCGCAAAAAAAAAACCTCTGTCCTGGGAAGAACCAGCAAGAAACCCAGCGGGACTATTTTTTTTTCCAAATAATAGCATACAATCATGTTTATAATTAAGAACACAAGACTAATTAAAAATAGTTTGGTAGCGATCACCCTTCCCAGGGGTTATTATCATCCATATATTCCTTAATATATATAATAAACCTTTTTATACAAACTTAATTTAATAAAAAATTTGAACTTTGCGTATGACAAATTTTGTATATTTTCTGGGATTTTGTTGTAAAAGCGTTATACATCGCCCCAAGAATGAATTACTGACTCAGTGGAGTCGAGTAAAGAGCGAGATAATCTTATAAATAACAAATACTTATTTGTCTAATTTTTTAAATTAAAAAGTTCAATTCTTTGTATGTTATATTTTAATTTATTTATGGTTAACTATTATATCATTATATTGTACACGGCTTTAGGCGTTGCGCGTGGCCCAAAGGCCACCCGAGCCGAACGTTAAGAACGTAGGCGGGCTGCATTTTTCCATACAAATGTATTCCCCTATTCTCTTCCTGGATAATACCTCTAAAGCAGCCATACTCAACCTTTTTTTATAGGGGCCACAAACACGTTTCGGTCATGGTGTCGAGGGCCGCAAGCAAAAATTATTTAGGTCTTCATTAAAACGTAATTCCAACTTAACGATTTGTTTAGTTTATTATTGAAAAAATAAGTTTTTACAAAGAAAATTCTACATATTCCTTTCTATTGTTTGCCCTTTTTTTCTTTAAACAGAACTTCTAGATCGATGTAGTTTTTAAAATCGATGAATCCATCAAACAACTCCGAATAATTACAATTTAAAACTAAAGTCAACTCTGAGATATATGTTGTTTCTAAATGTCATGGATTTTCTATTTGTAACAAACTATTTTTTTTTCTTAGATCTTGAAACCTTTTTCGAAATTCATTTAAAAGTGCAGTTATATAATTTAAAATTATAGAGCACTTTTTTCCGAAATTTCGGTAACGTCCTCTGTAATTTTTAACATAGTTTGAAAATTTTGCAGCTGTTTGTTCTGTATTTCTTCATCATAAATGCTTAGTTTAAGCTTTTGACTTTTTTGTATTATTGAGTTTTTCCATAATATCACATAGAAAGGCTAAAATACACCACCATTCATCATTTTGTAATTCAGGGTACCCTTTATTATTTTGCTCTAAAGCAGTATTATTTTATGGCGTAAAGAAAACACCTTTCCAAAACTTTTCCTCTACTAATCCATCGCACCGAGCCATGTAAAAGGACGTCGTCATACTGACGTCCCAGTTCTTCCAGAAGGCTTTTAAATCATCCATGGTTCAATTATCTTACATATAATTGACCATATTGATAACTGTCTTCATTACAGCTTCTATTTCTAATTTACAACACGCGCCGCCAAGTTTCCTTGGTGGATAATGCAATGAAATGTCATTAGATTAGTTAAACTATATCTATCTTTAAATAACGAAATAAATCCATTTTCGGATTCAGTCATTGAAGGACAACCGTCTGTACACAGACACACGATTTTTTGCATATCAACAATTTTTTTAGAGCAGATTTGTTTGACCTTTTATTGGTAGGAATTTCAAAAAATTTTCCTGTATTAAATTGTTTTCTGTCAATCTAACAAACACCTACCATTGCAATGTTTCTGAAATGTCGGTGCTGGAATCGAATGCCAAGCTTAAAAATTTGTTGTTTGGTTAATCAATATAATTATATCGCAAATAAGTTTTGAAATGTCTTCAATACGCCTCATACAGGTTGAATCCGAGAGTTGTGGTTTTTTATATCAGATAGTATTTGCTTTTTTCACTGAATTTATCAAAAATTAGCAGCCTAAAAAAACATTCCTTTACAATTTTGAATCGGTATATTATGCTAAGGATGTAACAATATTCATATGATGCCTTAGTTACCGCGGAGTCTTGTGATAATGCCACAGACATAACAGTTTGTTGTTGATGCAATGATCTCCTTAAAAACTCAACTTCTCATTTCTCAAGAAAGATCCAGGAGGATCCAAATTCAAATTCATTTATTTGCCAGAATGTTTGTGTACAATAAAGTATGATCTTAAATTATGTATAATGACCCATTTACATTCTACCACTATAAATATTTTATGCAAATATTTTATAAGTATACTTTTGACACGGAGACCTTCTGAGATGGATTGAGTCTTACCTAAAAAAATCGTTCCCAAGTAGTAGTTGTAGGAGGACACAGATCAAATTTTATAAAAATTACATCTGGTGTGCCTCAAGGGCCCCTCATGTATAACACTTATCTATATGATATATGTACATGCTTTAAACATTCCTCATTCTTGCTGTATGCGCATTGCCATAAGCTTCAAGAAGATTTAAACAGGTTGGACCATTATTACAAATATAATCGAATCACAGTTAATGTCAAGAAATGTCAAACTTGCACATTTACACGCAAAACTAAACCGGTTGAATATGCATACAGATTGAGCGGATCAATAATTCAAAAATCAGATGTAGTCCGAGATCTTGGTATCTTATTAGATTCCAAGCTTACATTTAGTAATCATATTGACTACATCACAAATAAAGCATATAGAAACTTAGGCTTCTTAATACGTACATGCCAACCTTTCAATAACTTACCCTGTATTAAAGTATAATATTATGCCTACGTTCGCAGTATATTAGAGCATGGTAGCAACATACAGTGGGTTGCCAAATTATTAGGGATAGTTGCATTTGTCAAGTATTTGGCTTAAATTAATGAATAAAACAAAGGCTTTTTAATGTAACTACGTTTTTAATATTTAGGAAAATATCCTATAATGTCACAAAAGTAATAAGAAATATTATAAAGGCATTAAAAATAATTACAATAAATTAAAAAAATAAAAGATGTTGTCGAATTTTACTGGTCAGTATTTTGTAACATTTCCCTTGCCTGTAACTCAGACGAAATAAAAAGTAATTAGTGCTTCTATGCGTCTGGGCATACTTTCTATGCATTTTTTTAGCACTTTCTTTTATTTTAGGATTGTGATGCCAAACCTCTATTAGCTTTTTAATCAGTCTTACCTTGGTGGTTATCATTTCTTTGGCAATTTCTGCTTTAGTGATCTCTCAAAGATTTTCTATGAGATTCATATCAGGAGAATTGCCAGGCCAAGGTAAAACTGGATTGATATTCTCTTCTAGAAACTTGGTGACACTTCTCGCTTTGTGGCAGGGTGCTGAGTCATGCATAAAGGTGAAGTTCTCACTATCAGGGAACCATTCCCTGAGTGTTGGCACAATCGATTTTGTAACACTTCTTTATATTGGTGTTGTCTCATGGTCCCCTGGACAATGTAGAGCCGTCCAACACCCTTGGCACTTATGACTGACCACACCATTATTTTGACAGGGTGTTTCACCCTCTCCACGATACAGTCAGGGTGATATTTTTCACCTGGGCGCCGTCTGACGAAGCTACTTTTGTCGGCCAAAATTTAAAAAGTTGATTCATCGGAGAAACACACCTGAAAAAAAAATAGTAATGTCGAATAATGTTATCGAATATAATGGCAAATAGGAAAAAACAACAGAAGTAAGGTGAACTGACCTTATTCCAGTCCTCTGTTGTCACTTGTTGATGTTCCCAAGCCCAAGCCAGTCGCTTTTTTCATTGCTTCAGTCAAGCGATGTTTTTTTACAGGACGATGGCCTGTTAATCCTTCTTCTGCCAACCTACGCTGCAAAGTTCTCTTGCAAACTGATATTCCAGATTCTTGGACTAACTGAGTTAACAGGCTCGCACCTTTTTTTCGATTTTGTAGACAGATATCTCTAATTTTTTGTATCTGAACGTGGTGTTGTGACGCGCTTTCTCCGACTGTTGTCTTTTCTCTTAGGCGACAGGGGCTGTTTTTTGTCCAAATTAATTTTTATTCTATTAACTACTAACTTACTGGAAACACCAGCAATATCTGCTATCTTCCTTTGGGAGTAAGTGGTGTGCTCGAGAAGATTTTTAATTTCAGATTTTTTCCTAGGAGACAAATCACACGCCTTACCCATGCTGGAAGACGAAATAAATAAAAATTATCAAAATTATTCAACAAAAAATATTTATATAATAATAAATAAATACATTTTGATACAATTTAAAAGCACCAATATAAAACTTACTTTCTTTGAAATCTTCAAATCCGTCTTTCAATCTAAAATCTAAATATTATGTTAGCGAAAGAAGCAGGTCAAACGATATAATAAATTTCATCTCCACTCTAACCACTTTAACTGTACTCAAGTGCATCCAAAGTTAGAAAACAAGAAAAAAATTGACTGTCCCTAATAATTTGGCAACCCACTTTATGTCTTGAAATAGAAATAGAAATAGAAATAGAAACTTTTTTATTCAATGTAGATTATAAAAATACTTATTGAAAGTCACTTTTTTAATTTACCACTGGTTCGCAAAAAAAAACCTCTGTCCTGGGAAGAACCAGCAAGAAATCCAGCGGGACTATTTTTTTTTTAATAATAGCTTACAATCATGTTTACAATCAACAACACAAGACAAATTAGAAATAGCTTGGTAGCGATCACCCTTCCCAGGGGTTATTATCATCTATAAATTCCTTAATATTATAATAACCCTTTTTATACAAACTTAGTTTAATAACATTTTTGAACTTTGTGTATGACAAATTTTGTATATTTTCTGGGATTTTGTTTTAAAAGCGTATGCGATGTATACGCCCAAGAATGAATTACTGACTCGGTGGAGTCTAGTAATTGGTACTACTAGCTTTTGTCTGTTCCTAGTATTTACAGAATGAATATCACTTATTTTCGCAAAACTACTTTTATTTTTGTGTACGTACATTACATTTTCATAAATGTATTGAGAGGCCAGAGTTAATATATTAATTTCTTTAAATTTTTGTCTCAGTGACTCTTTTGGTTTTAAATTATATATTGCTCTAATGGCCCTCTTCTGTAAAATAAATATAATTTCAGTGTCAGTCGCGTGTACCCATATTCTAGCTGTTTCAACACTGGTAAGAGTTCTAATCTTTTTTTACAGCATATGCTGCAGAACTAAGTCTGCTAGCTAGTTTTGATATATGGGGGAGCCATTGAAGCTTTGCGTCTAGTGTGATTCCAAGAAAAATGGTGGTATCAACAAGACTCAGTTCCTCCCCATTTAAAATTACATTAGTATTGACATGTTTAACATTTGGAGTTATGAATTTCATACATTTAGTTTTAGTTCCATTCAAATGCAAATTATTAACATTAAACCAATTGACTAACTTAGCTATAGCATTATTTACTTCGTCGTAATTTAATAACTGTCGTTTTAATTTGAAAATTAATGAAGTATCATCAGCAAATAATACTATATCATGGTTATCCCCTACTATGTAAGGTAAGTCATTAATATATACAAGAAACAGAAAGGGGCCAAGAATTGAGCCCTGAGGCACGCCCATTTGTACAATCGACCCGGAAGAACTCATACTATTAATAACAACTTTTTGTGTTCTGTCACTTAAATATGAAATAATTAATTTAAGAGCATCATTTCTTACACCGTAGTGTTGAAGTTTCTTACACCGTAGTGGGGAAGTCTACAATACTATACATAATATTAACAAAATAGAAGTATTACAAAAAAAATTTGAAGTTTATTTATTTATTTAACATATTATACATGATAAAGAGGATATAATATGGTACAACATAAGCTTAATGAAAAACTTTACCGGGTACCACAAACCGCCGACATAATTTTTTTTAAATATGAGCTACACCTTAATCTACAAAAATATGTTTAATGCAACACTATTAAACACTAAACAGCAATTGGCACGGTCAACACGCGGTAAATCGGCAATACATACGTAGTAACCTCATAGTGAACAAGAAAGGTGTGAGTCTTGCCACCGCCCACTTCACTGCGTCAAAAACCGGTCGTTCCTACGTTGCGTATACAAGGGGTATCAATTAGTTAGTTACTTAATATTTAATAGTAAACGAATATAATGATTATTCTTAGGTTGTATATCATATAGATAAATATAGGAAATATAGTTAGTGGGGATTATAGTATTTAATTTTATTATTTTTTAAGTCTGAACTCTGATATATACAGTTCGTATAATAGTTTTTTAATTTGTGTTTAATATTTATATGATTAATTTCATTTTGAAAAGATATTGGTAAATGATTAATTAAATTCGGAACCATGTATTCTAAAGTATGTTTTCCGTATAAATTATTATAATAAGGTTTATCTAATTTTGGTTTAGCCGCACTGCGGGATTTAGAATAGTTAGAAATGCCATATTTTTTTTAAATCTACATTAAGAAATTCTTCATTTAAAAGAGAGTATATTCTTCTTTTTTTATGCACCGGTATAATTTTGCAGTAATAGGTTATGGTAATCAGAATACCTGTGTAAGTTTTTAACTTGGTCTGGGACTATAGTTTTTAAGATGCGTAGTTGCAATGAATAAATGTTATCTAAATGTGATTTGTAAGTTCGCTCATAACTAGAACCATATGAAATTTTAGATTCGGCCAGTGATTTATATAATTGTAACAGAATACTATAGGGGACTTTATACTTAACACGTTTACTGCGTAACAGGCCGATATCGGCCTGCCGCGGTACTTGAACTGGTGCGGACGAAGAAAACTATGTCCCTCTCGCTTGTGCGAAACGATTATCTCAGGTGTTTGTAAAAATTCGACAGAGACAAATATATATTTCATCTTGCGGTAAATGCCGTAGTTGTTCCCCATCAAAACATAACGGCAGGCTTTTATTGACCTACCACGCACTGACGGTGAAAAAACATCCGCGAGTGCGGCAGTGGGCCTATTTCGGCCCGCCCTCCCACCAGGCAGCTGGCGACCCGATACCGCACAGAGCGCGCGCCCCGCCAGTTAGTGTTGTGCTATCTAACAGCTCTGTCGTAGCGTCCGATATTATCAACAATGGCAAGCAATAAAAGAAAAATACAAATTTTGGAAAATAGAGTAATTCGCCCTGCAGTTATTGACAGTGATAGTGACAGCAGTGAAGAAATATTTTCCACTAAGAAAACTAAAAAGGATTTGGAAACAAATGTGCACGGAAAACAAAGCACAAGCGGTAAGTTTTATTTACTACCTACACATATCAACATATCAGCCTTAGACGCATAATGACGTGGGGATTTTTTATGTAATACCATCCTTTATGAAAAAGATTATTCTTAACACTTTCATTGCATTTTAATGATTTATTTTCAACAGTTGATGTCGAGAAAATTTAGTTTTTTTTGAACATCTTTTCAATTGAACCATAATCCGTCCGCTTTTACCCCAACACTCCTTTTTCTCGCTAAATAAGACACAATAAGAGTCACAGTAAACTTTTTTTGTCAACAGCGGACGTTTTCAGTAGCCCCAGTGGAAGAAAATTTCATATTCTTAAACCAGTCTCGTTTTCACATGTAACTAAAACAGGTATGTCTTAATTTAAATAATTTATTTGCTTTTAGTGTTATAGTTTCTGCTGAGCATCTATTGACAGATATCTCTCTCTCTCTCTATCTCTCAAAATTTCATATTTTATTTAATTTTTTACTTATATTACTGTAAAGTTTCATCTAAATCCGTTCAGTAGTTTTTGCGTGAAAGAGTAGCAAACATCCATACATCTAAACTTTCACATTTATAATATTAGTGTAGATTAATTTTATTCCACTTACCTTTTTTTGCATTACAGAATGTAAAAATAAACCTACACCACAGACATCAAAAGGATTGTCTTCGCCTAGCTCATCGTCATTGGAACGATTTAGTATGTATAGCTCAAGAGGATGCAGTCCTTCGCTAAACAATATATCAGCTTCTAAGCTTATGCACGGCATCAAAATAGATGAAAGCGAATATCATGACTTGATAAATCTAAGAAACGATAATAAAAAGATAAAAAAGAAAAATGAAATAGAAAGGAAAGATCCAAAGACAAAACTTACATTCACTTATTCTTTTGAAGACAGTATGTCGCAAGGGTTAACTGAAAGTAATGAAAATTGTGTTTTTTATGACGAAGAACGTAATAAACAGTTTGAAGAAAATGAAAGACAGAAAGAAACACTTAATGACGAAGCAGAGAGAGAGAAAGAAACAGAAAATGTTGATGTAGAAGATGTAGAAGAGAGAGAGGAAGAAACAGGAAATGCTGAAGAGGAAGATGAAGATGCAGAGAGAGAGGAAGAAACGGAAAATACTGAGGAGGAAGATGAAGAGCAGGAAAGTGGTGACACAGGCGATGATGAGAGTGATGAATATTCTGCAAGTGAAGTTGTATCGGATATAGATAATGATGTTTCAGAGGAAGAGGAAGATGCACAGGATAATAGTGTCAATGAATGGGATGCTGTCACAGATTTGACACCTGAGTTGGATGCGTGTACTTTAAATGAAAGCACTTTTAATATTCCTATAGAAGATATATCTCCTGCAGGTATTTTTTCCTTATTTGTAACTGATGAAATAATAGATAAAATGGTTACAGAAACTAATAAATATGCGTTAAAACACATCGCAGAAAAGCAAAATAATAACGAAATAAAAACAAAATCTCGGTTATTATCATGGAAAGCTACGAATAATATAGAAATGCGGAAGTTTCTAGGGGTACTACTCGCAATGGGTCTGAACAAAGTGTCTCATATAAATGACTATTGGTCAAAAAAATCAATATATCGAAACGAATATATTGTATCTGTAATGACTCGGGATAGATTTCTGCTATTACTGAAATTCTGGCATTTTTGTGATGATTCGTCAGCCATCCACAATACAAATAAGTTGAAGAAAATTCATGATTTGGCTAATATGCTCAACAGCAGATTCCAAGAAGTATTAACGCCAGGTAAATTCATTGTTATAGATGAATCAATGATACCATGGCGTGGCAGGCTGAAATTCAAACAATACATTAAAAACAAATCACACAAGTATGGTGTTAAAATTTACAAGTTATGCACTCCAGAAGGGTATATATATAATTCAATAATTTATTCTGGAAAGGGAGAAAATGGCCGTGAACAAAATCATGGTAAAGTCACCGTACTGAAACTCATTCAAGGGCTGGAGAACAAATGTCGTGTAGTAATTGCAGACAATTTCTACTCTTCAATTGAATTGGCGGAAGAACTCTTATCTCAAAAAACCCGTTATTGCGGTACCCTAAATTCGAAGCGAAGGGGGCTACCTAAGGAGATAGTGTTACTAAAGTTGAAGAAGGGTGAAATCAAAGGAGCTATGAATAAAAATGGCGTTAAAGTTATTAAATGGGTTGACAAAAGGCAACTTCTAATGATATCTACTCTCAAAGAGGACAAAGATGTGCTTGTCAACACTGGCAAAAAAAATAGGAAGACGAATGAAGATATAAAAAAGCCTACATGTGTCTTAACGTATAATAACAACAAAAAAGGAGTTGACTTCAGCGACCAAATGTCTTCATACTATTCTACATTAAAAAGAGGGCTCAAATGGTTCAGAAAAGTGGGTATGGAATATTTGTTAGGCATGGCGTTAGTAAACGCGTGGATCACATACAACGTGAAATGTGATAAGAAGGTTTCAAAAAAAGAATTTACAGAGGCATTAATGCAATCATTAACTGGAAAAAGTATATGCGCTGATAGTAAGTATAATGACGTGTAACATCACTGTAGGCATATGTAGATTATTGTTGAAGGCGATTCCTACATTTCCGTGTTTCAACATCGTCAGACGTTCTACATCTGCAACAGGTAACTATTGTCATTATTTTGAACATATTACCAGTGTTACGGTGGCTGCGCATGGTCTTCGTGCATGAGCTTTGTGCTGACTCTGCTATTTTCTGCGAGCAATGTTTGGCGTTGTTTGCACTACTGTTCTATTATGGTATGTTATGGCACTGTTTACTTACTCAATAACACATAATGCGAGTTCTTATTTCGGGGCACTCAGCTGCATTTATCATAAAAATAACGCTTTAAGTGGTCTACTTGATTGCACAAAATAGACATTAGGTCCTGTTACCACTATATTATACACCATATACATAATTTTATACCTATATATACAGGCTGTTAGGGTTATCACCGCTGTCCTTCAAGGAGGTAACTCAGTATCGTTTATACAACAAATTTCCCTATCATGTCGTAAACTCGAAAAAAAATTTTTGGCTTCCCATACTAACCGATCCGATCAACTGATTAAAAATTGTATTTGAGGAATAAACTATCTGATTTTTTTTGTATGAAAAGTGAGAATATTTTTTTAAGATTTCAACATGGGTCCCATAAGGAAAGTTGTTGTATAAGCGATACTGAGTTATCTCCTTGAAGGACAACCCTACACCTATACAACATGTAATTCCAAATGCGCAAAACCTCCCGTGGGGTAACTCAGCCCATGTTACAGAACAATTTTTGTTCTGAGATTCGCAAAAAAATATTTTCACTTAATTTAAAATGACCTTATACACCGTGTAACGGAAGGGGGGGTATCAACCCTGAAGGAGGTGAATGTGCTCATGAAACTGAACAACTTTCCCCAAAGAATATAGGTCGAAGTATGAAAAAAAATGTTGGACCTCCCGTAGTAGTAAATCAATCAGCTGGTTGTCAATTTTGTAAGGGAAGGCCAATTTTTTTTTTCATATTTCGACCTATGTTCTCTGGGGAAAGTTGTTCAATTTCGCGAGTTCTGTGGTAAAACTCAATGTTTAATAAATCACACGGAATTAAGCAAAAAAATTCATTTCAGAAAATCAAGTAAAACCTAAGGACAATGACCATGTTCTTGAAATGAGCGCTAAACGAAGAAATTGTGCAGGGTGCTACGACAGACTGCGGAAAATCTTTAATAGTACCGAAGCAAAAAAAAAGTAAAGAAAATAAAGAAATATTGCAGGAAATGCAACCAAAACCTTTGCGTAACATGTTTCCAAGATAGGCATAAGTAAATAAAAACATTTTACAGTTCTTTTACGATAATTCTGTTTTATTTTCGATATCCCCTTATTTTTCTCTGTCCCGTCACTACTAAAAATACTTTCTAGTGCGGTTCAGGTCGATATCGGCCTGCCGCTTTTCCTGCTTTATTTCTCATTTCTTGTTTGGCAGATCCCGGGGCGAATCAAACCTATGAACGTTGGGTTCAAGCTCATTCTAACAATATAAAAAAAAATGTATACATTATGTTTCCACAAAGTTATAGCAATTTAATCTATCCTAGTGCTGGTGGGTCTAGATCGACCACTCACGCACTGGCGGAAACATCATTGGGGGCGCATTTTGGCCCGCCGCCGCACTAGATGAAGTATTATGATTTTACTTGCCGCAGTAAACGTGTTAATTATGAAGAATTTTGCTAATATGCTTCGAAGTCTATTACACACATCCTCAATATGATGTTTCCAGTGGAGTCGACTATCTATTATAAGTCCTAAGTAAGCTTGTGTTTCTACCGGCTCTAATTCTGCACAACGACAATTGAGAGTCATTTGTCTTTTGTGAAGGCATAGGTGGTCGTGCATGATAATGCTAGGTATTACTTTACTCCTATTGTGACTTGAACTTATATACATTAGCTTGGTCTTGCTAGCATTGGTAACTAATCCTTTATCGTGAGACCATTGTGTTAATATATTAAGTTCTTCTTGCAGAATGCGGCCAGTTTCGTTAATATTTTCGCCTGCTGCAATGAGGTACGTATCGTCGGCATACTGGTATATTTCGCAACGCCTGATGATGTTTGCCAGACTATTAACATAGGTGATGTAATGCAATGGTCCAATTACAGAGCCTTGTACAGTGCCTACCGAAGAGTTAACATAATAACTAATGGCATCACCCACTTTTACCGCATATTTTCTGTCATTAAGGTAATCTCTGCACCATGACAATAAAGGTCCTCTGATACCACTATCATTAAAACTGTCTATTAGCTTGTTATGATTAAGTTGTATCAAACGCTTTAGTATAGTCTACAAAGACTACCAAGACGTGTCTTTTATTATCTAAATGTTTGTAAACGCTGTTAGTGAAGGTCGATAACAGTTGGGTGGTATTTTTCTTAGGTTGAAAGCCATACTGTTTTTCCGTTATTATATTGTTTTTATCGTAGAAGTTATAAACCTGTCTGCAGATGTATTTTTCAGCAATTTTATCTATAACCGGTAAAATAGTAATTGGCCTATAGTTGTCATGCACCATAGTGCTACCCTTCTTATGCCAGTTTTTAAAATATGGGGATACTTTCCACTTTTTATACAGGCATTAATAGGTTTGCAATTACGTCACTGACTAAGTTGCATATTTTTTATGTCTGTAGGTCGTATCCCGTCAATACCTGGGGCAAAAGCCCAATTGTGGATGGTAACTGAACGATTGTCGCTGAGAGCCGAGTTGTGGACGATAGCCAAACTGTTGTGCTTGCTGGCCAATTTATGGCTGATAATCGAATTGAGATGGATGGTAACCTATCTGATGCATTAGTTGAGGACGAAAGACAGATTGGGGCATCCTAAATTGGCTTTGATTTTGAATGCCGAATTTAAATTTTGGTGTAATGTTATTTGGTAATACTGGTTTGTATCCATACGGTCACACTTCTGTGCTAAGCGTACCACCGAATTTAAATCCTTATGTTGGAACTGATGTTTGAGACTGCCTTAAAGCTAAACCGTTACTACCGTGGACATGATTTCGCATGTTGTATTGATCGTGGAAGTTGACTTCTTCAGTACAATGCTCAGCGCGTCTTCTAAAGTCGCTGGCTTCTTTAACCTCACAATCCGATCCATATTCTCGGGAAGATTGTATAGGAATACTATTAGGGCTGTGCTGTTGTAAATTGCCAATTTAGCGCTTTTAAGATCACTGTCATCTGATATGTTTACTTTTGAAATTAATAATGATCGAATAATTTGTATGCGGTTACAAAAATCTTGAAATTTTCACCAGATTTAATCTTCAAGATCCTAAATAAATACTAATACACACTTCGCTACGCGGGTCTCCGAAATGCTGCGTTAACAAATCTTTCAACTGGGACCATGTCACGACATCCTCACGTTCCGATAAGAGCGACGCCGCGTTATCTGTAAGCCTACTATACTAGTTACAGAGTGATATACATATGAATTTTATTCTTCGTCACCCCTATACCTACGAATGACATATTCAGATTTCCTCAACACAAATTTTAACAACATTTGCTGTCTTTTGTTGCCATTAAAAGTGGAGTAAGCCGTAGCATTTCTATAGGAATGGGATTAATTACAACGGTTTGTCGTTCTGCTGCCTGAGTTTGTTCCATCGTTATAGAGTAATGCACGAGTCAGAGGAGTCTGTTAATATAACGCACTATTTTATGTAATAACACAAAATATAAGTTAGAACACACTAAATCATATAAAAATATAACTTATAAAATAGAAGTTTATCTTAGTATAAGTTTTGTAAAATGTGTAAACGTAATAAAAAACGAAAATAAATGAAATAAAACTGTGTTAGCATTACTAAAACATAAATTCATTAATTATCAAGTAAACTTTTAGTTACATTTAATTTATTATTTTTATTAAAAAGTCTTATTTTTTAACGTTTAATAATCTCTGTGCGAAAGGCACCCTGTGTCCCCTATGCTTCAGCGTTCATCAGCGTTATGTTGTGCCTACGGTAATATAGTGTCTAATACAAAATAGATTTAATTAAAAACTAGATACGTTATAATAAGAGAATTCCGATCTCAATAATAACAAATTTAAGTAACATTAAGGATAACAGTGATATCAGGGACGGTGAAGTTTTATTCATCAACCAGCCGCTATTCCCATGCCTTCCGCTTCCGCTTCACTTGATGACAAATTTATTTAGTCCTTGGATTTGCCCACTAGTTATTCGCGCCGCTATCACAAATTCAGGCGAATTAAGATACCTGAATATTTCGGGAGACGGCAAAGGCCTTCTCGAACAAATCCTACCGGCTGCGCCAGTCAAATTTCAGGAACCTCGAAAGGAGTTTTTAAAAACTAAATTACAATTAGATTACTACGTCTCACGGATTTGGAGGTAGCTTTAATAAATGATATTCAAAGAGTCCGTTCGACTCATCAACTAAGTACTAGGAACTTATACAAAATGCTGATATGTTAGTTTTATTGCTTAGTTTAAAAATACAAATACAATACAATTTTCGAAGAACCGATAACCGATGGGGAAGAAAGGTTCTCGAGTGGCAGCCTCGTACCGGTAGGCGTAATGAAGGGCGACCCCCCAATAGATGGAGTGACGACCTGGTAAGACATGCAGGAAGTCGATGGATGCAGGTGGCTCAGGACCGTGCTTTGTGGCATTACTTGGGGGAGGCCTATGTTCAGCAGTGGACTTGTGAAGGGCTGTAATGATGATGATGATGATATATTTTAATATTTTAGTCTAAAACAGAGGGACGATGTGTATCCATAACTAGATATACTTTTAAATTATTTGTTTTGAAAACAAAATGTCAATACCTTGGGAATTTCTCTAAAAACTCGTTCCTCTAATCCATGCAGTGTTGCCCGCTGCCGAAATAAATATTGCTTGAGAGTAAATTCAGCAGATTTACGATCCCGCGTTGTTAACGTTAGTGGCTCCCTGTAAAATAACAATAGCAGTCAAACTTTCAAAGTCAAAACTGAAGTAATAAAGAGTGGCGTAACTATATCGTTAGAGGCCCGTGGCAAATTAATCGCCCGTTTAAAATCAACCTCTCCCAATCATTATAAAGAAGCTCAAACAACGTTAGTTTTTTTAAAATTTTATATCTAGAATCAGCCCCGGCTTCCCACGGCTGATTTATGTTAAGTACACCATATCCTCGAAGATCTGAACGCGGACGTCATTTAATTCGTATTCTTTTCAGCGAACCCTTTTATTTAATATCCTTATCATGGGGGTGAATAAAAAAAGCATAGTCCGCCATCTTTGGGAAACCCCGATTTTTGATTTAAAGTGGTATCATTTTCGTATTTTTCTCAGCAAATTCTGTCAAGTGATAAACATATTATCATGGCAGTCATTAGAAAATAACTAGACCGCCATCTTGAGCCCTCCGCCATATGGGATTTAGTATGACGTAACTTAGCTAACCATGCATGGTCATCCAAACTAAACATGTATGCGAAATTTCAGCTCAATCGGTTGAAGATAATTGCTGTTGCAATACGTTGGTGAAGCCTCACTTACTGTATCAAATCGAAATATGGGGTACTGCAGCTAAAAGTAATTTAAAACCAATACAAATATTACAAAATAAAATAATTAAAATCTTACACAACTATGACTTCTTAACACCATCGAAAACGATTTACAAAAACACAAAAATTTTAGCTCTAACAAACAAACATAGCAAGTTAAAAGCTTTAAAAACAGTAATGCAGTGCACGCGCAATAAAATGATTATTTACGATTGATAAATTTCCTATCGATATGTCTCCTAAGCTCTCCTATCGAAGATGACGTTTCTATTTTGTCTCTAAAAGCGGTATTTTTATATAAATCTACAAATACTAAAAACTCTTCAGTAAATCGGTTTAATATCAATTTTGCAAAGTTCATATTTAAGTAAATTTACATTTACAAATTTGCAGGGGCAGAATTTATTTTCTTAATTTGTCTCCTATAAATGGGAAAATGGTACTACAATTTCTTCCAAAATCTCAGTTAAATATCCTGCCGCTGTTAGTGACCCATTTTCAATGACGCGGAGTTCCGTACGTACATTAAAAATAAATACATTCCTACGCTTTTCAAGTGCTGTGTGTATGAGCGTATCACCCTCTCTTGAGTGGCGTTTAGATCTGGCAATCTCAATTTATTTGCAGTAGAATAATTCACATTTAACGCGATAAACAAAATCGTGAAGGCAAAAAATAAAAAAAAACTAAATTCGGACTCAAAATCAAAAGTTGGTAATTTTTTTGCTGTACGAATGAAGAATAAAAACAAATAAGATTTTACATATTTTTTTAATAGCATTTACTAATATTTGTGGCCAGTACAGATGATAATTACAACCGGAAAAATTAAACCTTTTTTTTCCGTTCCTCCAAATTGATTCACGAGCTTTTCAGGCCGGGGGCCCCTTCCGGCTGGAGAACCATGGCATTTTGCACGGCCTGCCACCACTGCCTGCCACACTATTGTTATGCCACTGGTGATAAACGAACTTACAGCCTTATCGTGGTAAGTGGATACTGCAGTCCGTTAACACCTTCAGTCAACATCAAACTAAGATGGAATACCTCACGGACTGTCAGACTTCAGACGGGAACACAGCAGTGCAAGCACTGCTATTGGCGGTAGAAATAGATAATAGAATGGTATTTACCCAGACGTACTTCGCCGTATTGTAACTATTAAGTTTTCTTTAAGTATTCTAATTAATGCCACCAGCTACTAATAGGTCAATTATGAGGCTTATTAAAGCACCCTTTTTACCAAAGTAAGTCCCACTTCGGCCAAGAGGTTGACGCATCTTCTGGTGTGGTTGAAATATTATGTATATGAAAGAAGGTGGGTCAGGATCATGTTATTGTAGTCTTTGGGGGAGACTTATTTAGCACATGTTAGGTACTGTAATGACTATGGTGATGAGGATATAAACATACTTACTTAGAACTAAATACAACCGTTTGCGGCAGTATGTAATGCTCGAACTGCTGCACACACAGAATTTGACCAGAAGTCTGCACGGAGCGCGGCCGCTTCTTCCTCACGAGGCGTATAGCGTCATTGGCTCGGACTCGCAGAGCATACACCAGATAGCACGCTATGAGCACTCCAGTTCTGCCAAGCCCTAGGTGAATAACATTTTTAATCGAATGTAACTTTCATTATAGTAGTGTACTAGCGTTTCATAATATTAGAGCCGCGATCAATCGCAGTCAGCAGTACTGAATCTAAAAGCTAATTTACCACGGGCTCGGCGATATGCCACTACGCCCAAAACTCGTGACCGCGGCTGTAAAGCATTCAAAACGTCGGTAATATATTACAATTGATAAAATAAATGCGATAAACTCCGTAAATACTCCATCATACATCTGATTGTAAGTGGATGCTGTGACCCATAAACATCTTAGCGTTATCAACCCTGAGGACTAAGATGGAATTGCTTCTTGACAGTAAATAGGTTTTCTGATTCTTACGAACCAATCTGGAGCATAATACTGCTATTTTACACTAGTATTCTGTAAGAACTTGGTTTGTTCCCGGTCGAACAGACCTTATCGTGCTGTAGTCATAGTATAGTTACAGGTACAGTATAAAGATAGTCTAACAGTTAGGACATATATATATATATATATATATATATATATATATATATATATATATATATATATATATATATATATATATAACACACACAGAATGTACTTGTGCAGAGCAATGAGCAGAGCGCGGGCTTTGCGGAGCAGTGGGCGGCGTGAACACTAAGTATGCTGTCGGTTGACGCGAGAGTGTTTTAATAGTACTTATATAAATAATTTTAAGTGTTGCTTTCGAAAAATATAATATCTAAAATGGTGTATCACAGTTATACATATATGGGTTATGAAGTAAAGTTGAATTCAAGTGACGGTCATGCCTATGTTCACCTATCTCAATTTTGTTTTTGATAAAATTGTTTATCCGAATGTGAATACACCACATTTTTAATGTAACAATCGAAAACTGAAAACATATATAAAAAGAGAGTGTCACGAAAATATTTGATAGAGCAGCACTGGTAAATGTATCTTCTGGTAGTAATAAAAAATTATCGTGTTCAATAAATGTTTATATCTTACGAGTATGTACATAATGTTAATAATTGATAATGAGTATTATAATATCCAAAATTATTTTATTCCCAATTTCGTGACAACCCCTATCATACACGTCGCCCGAGTAAATACTGACGCCGGCGGCGGCATAGCCTGACATCAAAGGCGTTTCACAACTGTTAGTTTATATTTAAACCGTCAGGGTTACAGTGTGGCTCTAATACGTTCAGCTTTGTCAATTTTCAAATGGTTATAGGTCGTTATTGAAAATATTTCTCACAATTTACCTGAAAAGAAAGAAATGGCCACTTTTTAGTAAATTGTAAAATTGTTACTTGTTAGTTAATCGTACTCATTTGTAGAATACTATACGTATATTCAGTATCGACCCGAGCAAACTTTAAAAAAATATCGCCACGAAATAAAATACAGAGTTTGTGAAATGTTGGAGCTTTTTTATCGACGGAGCGAAATAACATGAAATGAATATTAAATTAACTACGTGAGAGAGAGTGAATAATAATAACAACATTTTTACATTCTTTTACTATGAATGTTTTGCGCACAAAACTGGTTGAGAAATTTAAAAAAAGCCTAACTGTCAAACTTCATCAAATAACTCAAATATCATTTTGCCTGCATTAATTAACTAGGTACTGATAATTAAAACGAATTATTATAATTGTTATTAATAATAATAATAATGTCCTTCAGACCGAATTTTGCCCACGGCGGTCTGCCTCAACGGAAGCTAGCCATCGGCGCAGGACAGGATTATAGTGCTCAAGTGTATGCGCAAGCACAGGTGCACACTCTATTCCCTCACTCTCGTAATCCGATGGGACGATAAACCGACACGACTGGAGAGAGATCAGGCGCAGGACCAACGGCTTTACGTGCTTTCCGAGGCACGGGGGTGAGACACCGCCAACTTCCTGACTCCGGGCAACTACTGAGAATTTCTTGACAGAAAAACTCAATAATTGATTTTTTGGCCCGACCCGGGATTCGAACCCAGGGCCTCATGATCAGCAGTCACACTACTGCAACCACTAGACCAACGAGGCAGTTATTATTTTATTTAATAATAATACCATGCATGCTTAGCTCCATTAAGAGGACAATTTTTAATACACACAAATCTTACTAGAGGGATGCAGATCATAGCAACGCGCATTGAAACCGCATGCAAATTCGTTCAGAGGTTTTGCTTTGCAGTTTTACACAGAAAAGGTGACAACACTTTATCTTCTATCTCTTAATTCAAACCATTTTAAACAAAACTATGATAGGTAAAGGGCGGGGGTTAGTCTACTCCTAACTTTTGGCATTATCAGTAGGACTAAATTAACACCTATTCTGCTCTCCTGTCGGGCGAGCAGTTTGGCGAATGGCTCTGGGGGAAAGCGCAGGTCGTGTTGATCCTGAGTCTGAAGTCTGAGGAGTTCTTCTTTCACGTGGCTGCCGCCGGTTATTTGGTCTGGTCCAACCCTGGTTTCTGGTGGAAACAGACATAACAGAAACAATCAGTCAATCCCCTTTTTCTTTTTATATCCCACCACATAAGCTTACCGTGTTGAGCTGCCGAGGGATGAGTGGCTGGAGGGAGTCCTGCCGCAAACGGTGCCTCCCCGAGACCAGGGTGATTTGAGTAGTATTTTAGCCCTTCCTTCGGCATACGGGGGCTCTGTCGGGGGTGACAGAATATTTCCCTAGCTAATCGAATGAACGAAAATCAACATTTTGCACACAACATTGAAAAGTCACCATTAATGGAACTATCTGTAGATTTGGAAGAGGCTATTTTAGTTTCAATAATTCCCTGCAAAACTACGCCCCAACATGGGACTAGCCGTGAAGCGGAGGGCACGTCTGCAGCCGAACCACAATCAGAAACGAACCATAGAGGGGAAAAGAAAAAGTTCGCTAGGCCTTATAAGCTTAGTGGGGCAGCAAGGAAGAGGTACCAAAGGATGATAACAGCTCAGATAGGGGCCGAAGAAACCCTGTCTCTCTGCCAGAAACCCTGGGATCAAATTCCTATGCCCAAACCTCCCCCTAGTTCCGAAGGCGAAAAAACGCAGTCCGTCTGAGGAAGAGTCCCCCAAAGACCAGCCCAGGAAATCTGTGAAGCAGGCATCGGGGGAGAAGGAGCTTAGCTTCAGTGTCATAGCTGGCTCCGCGCATGTAGGAATTCGCAATTCAAATCATATGAGTATGGATCAGATGCGGCTGGTGGCCACCGGGTGCTGACACAGGCCATCGCTAAGACGGTCTGCGGGGCGCAGCCGGGAATAATGGGAACAAATTTTTGGGTTTAACTCACAATCTATGTTGGATTCGTAACGTGCCTATAATGTGTAATAAGACAAGCCGGGACTTTGTGGGTGAAATCGGAAAACTGAAACCCTGGCCGGAGGTAGAGTACTCGATAGTACCCGAGAGTGAACTGAAGGGCTCCACACCGAGCTCTGGAGAATCCGTCCTCCACCGTAGGAACTAGGAGAAGGGGTTCTTAGTAATCTTTTCTCTAGACGACCCACCGGCGGAGGTTCTTCGGAAAGCGGGCGGCAGAGTCGTCCTTGGCTTTAAGGTGATAACTTTCGAAGTCAGGGCAGGCTCTGGCGCAGCAATTGAGCCTGAACCACTTCAACTCAAATCCCTCCATTCCTCCACCTCTCGGGATGAGACTGAAAAGCCATCAGTAAAAGTGACGGAGACCCAAGGTCTCGCCTCGGTCCGTCGGTCTCCACTGGTGTCGTCCAGGGTAAATGGAAAGGGAAGTGGGAGCGGTAAAGTAAAAGATAAGGCGGGGGTCAAGAGCGCCGATAAAGGACGTCTTCATCCTCAACAGGCGGAAAAGACCCTTGCCCCCCATGCCCATAAATGGCTAACCCTAAGTATAAGACGAAGGTCCTCCAGGCAGGCTTCACCATGCAGCAACTGCTTCCGCCGTGGTGAAGGATTGCTTTGCAGTGGGCAACATTAACCTCGCCCTCATACAAGAGCCTTAGATAGCCAACGGTGAATCTGGGATTTTCAGCTGTCGGTAAGATTCTTGTCAATGCTAAAGGTAGTAGACCCAGAACTTGTATAATTTACAATAAAAAATATTGAACTTTTGGCTGTTCCAGAGTACTGTAACGATGACCTGGTTTCAGCCTTCATAACTCTCAAGGGATGCACAGGGGTCAGAGTAATCATTTGCTCAACCTACCTTCCCGGATAGAACTCAGATCCTACCATCGAGTTGGAGCGAGTGGCGGAGTTAGCCCGTAAACACAACGCCAAACTTGTGGTGGGTTGTGATGCTAATGCTCACCACACACTCTGGGGAAGTACTAACATCAACTAAAGAGATGAGCAACTTTATGATTTTCTAATCTCCAATCGCCTGGTAAGCCAAAACTTAGGGTGTAGACCAACCCTTGTAACTCGTGCTAGGCAAGAAGAGTTAGACATAACCTTTGCTACCAATAACATGTCCAGGCGGATAAATGACTGGCATGTTAGTAGCGAAAACTCGATGTCTGTCTGCATGTCACAAACACATTAAGTTTGTGATTGGAGCATCACCATCCTAGGAAACCGTTGCTTTTAGGGATTCAAAAGCGACCTCCTGAGATATCTTTTGAGATAGCCTAAGGAGGAATTTGGAAAAGTTTCCTAAAAGCCTCAAAACGATTGAAGGTCTGGAGATAGCGACGGAGACAGTAAGCGTAGGTACCCGTGAAGCCTTCGAGGACAGCTGTCCTTTCTTAACTACGACCTCAACACGAAAAGTTCCTTGGTGGAAAACTAAGCAAAAAGATTTTAGGGAAAAGACCAGGAAACCATTAAATAGGGCTAAAAAAACAAAGAGTGGGATATTTATGGCTTCTATGGCTGATTCATGGAAATTTTTAAAATCAATCGGGATAGGTAAACGCTTAAATTCAATATTCTCTGTTAATCAACTTAATACATACTTTTCTACTGCACCACAACTGCATTCGTCAATTAAATCTACTACTATTGCTCATGTTAATTC